CTTGGCATTAGGAGAAAGAGCAGAGGTTTTCTGCTGTTGTTGCTGCTGTGGTGGTGGTGGCGGCGGTGGTGGTGGCTGGGATGGCTGCTGCTGTTGCTGTAGTTGCTGCTGGCTACCCAGGCCAAGCCCATACAGAGAGTGCATTGAGGAAGAGATGGCTTTCTGCTTCAAGAGGTCATTCACATTCAAGCCGAGGTTGATAGGAGAAGTACGTGCAACCTTGTTGCTACGGCCACTATTCTTCATTTTGGTAGAGCCAAACTTGGTGGCAGCAAAAGTGGCAGTGGTAAAGGTTAAAGGCTGAGTGGACCGGGGCATGAAGGTGGGGCTTACAGCGGCAGAGTGACCAAAGGGAGGCGATGGAGAGCTGGATGATGAGGCTGGGTCACTTATGGGCATAAAAACCTGGGCCTCTGGGTTAAAGCTGTTTTTTATCTCCTTATCCAACTCACATCCATTTTCATTATTATCATCCACATAAAGCACCTTCACTGGTCCCTTTTCACCAATTTGGTAGGAAACCTCAAACGGGTCGATCCAAACACTAAGATCCTGTGGCAGATTGCCACGAACATCATCAATGTCCAAACCACTTTCTTTGGATGCTTGTTCAATCACGGGGTCCACTTTCTCCCCTACGTGTATACATCTAAACCCTGATCCTTTGTATGGCTTTTCGGGATACCAGTGCCCTTCATATTTCTTCTTAAGAAGTCTTTCAAGCTCTTCACCAAAAATGTTGACACGTCTCCTGGGAAGCTTATTGTACAAATATGAAATAATAAAATTTAGTGCTACTTGGATTTCAAGCTGCATAGCTGCTACGCCACAAAGTAAGGATTGTTTCAACTCCCCCACCAAAAAAGAAAAAAGGTTCAGTTTGTGGCAGAGAAACAAATTTTCATTCAACGTGCTGGTATTGGTAGATTATCCTTCACCTCGAGTGGTCTTGTTCCTTAAAACAAAACAAGACAAAACAAAAGCAAACATGTCCAAGTAAGATAAATGTAATGTAAATCTCATGACCTTTTTTTTCCCCCTACCCCTAGAGTAATTTCACTTTTGAAAATACCCAAACAGGCTAAAGAGCCTGAAAAATATCATCAGTACAAAATAAAGGAACATACAATAGAAAATTGTTTATTAAAGTTCAATATCTCATGGGAAAATGTGGATATATAGTTAAAACCCCATTATTTATTTTCTGTTTCTGGATAGAGCTCCAAGAGGAAAAATACTTCCAGAATATGGTGGTGTTTTTTCCTTCCCTCAATTCTCACAAGAATATTTAATGGAAACTGTACTCAGCACCCACTCACCCCTACACACATATATGCCACTTTTAGAAGCTGGACAGTTTTTATTGCTATTCACCGCTTTAGAATTGAATCCTATATTTTAGTTCATGTTGGATATGTACTGTTTAAATCTGCTCTATTGTTAAACATTTAGAAATTCGAGAAGTTAGAAAAATTAATTTCTAGGGGGCCGGCCTGTGGCTCACTCGGGAGAGTGAGGTGCTGATAACACCAAGGCCATAGGTTCGGATCCCATATAGGGATGGCCAGTTTGCTCACTGTGTGAGCGTGGTGCTGACAACACCAAGTCAAGGGTTAAGATCCCCTTACCGGTCATCTTTAGGGGAAAAAAAAAAAGAAAAGAAAAATAAGTACACAATTTAAAATTAAAGGTACTAAATACGAAATGAATTGTCATCTCATTGAATAATTATGAACCAAAGTATCCTATGTAGTTGCAGTCTTTAATGTACTAAGGGCACCCAATACAACAACCGAGCTTCTCTGTGCTTTTTTTCTTCTCAACGTATATTTTTTAAAATCTGAAAATACAAAGAAGCAACAATGAATTTTAAAACTCTATTGCTTATTCTGTTTAAAGGGCAGAGTTTCTAAGTTTTATTTTGATTTTAAAAACACCCTCACGATAAGAGAACAGCCGGAGAGGCATGTACGATAAGGTCGACCTTTAAACGTTTGCTGGATCAGCACTGGGTGGGGATAAGAAAAGATCAAGGGCAAACAGAAGATATTTGCAGAGGGGATCTGTTCTAATCACTGAAGTTGATTAAAAATGACATTTAAAAAGTCAAGTTGGTATTAATCCGTCTGTTCCATTTTCCATATTCGTGGTGACAAAGGGAAAAGAATCCCTGGCTGCCTCCAAACTACAAACACTTTCCAAGCCAAAAGCCTGAGTGCTGGCAAAGGCAGCTGATTAAGCCCCATTGCTTGAAGGTGCAGCTGAGCGAAATTCAGGCTCGGCGGAAGGTAGTTTTAAAGGAACGCCTTAAGACAGGAGCGTGAGGAATTACATAAACAGCCAGTTGGGTCTCATTAGATTTCTGCTCACAGCTCAAGCGCTACGGCAGCAGCAACAGCAAGAGGAGGTGGAGGAGGAGGAAGAGGGTACGAGCCTCCTCGGAGCAGGAGGAGGAGGAGGAAGGCCACGGGAAGTGGAAAAGCCACCTCTCGCGGCCGGGCACCGGGCAGGTCCGGGCGCCGGCCGCAGC